TGGAACAGAATAGAGAACCTAGTAACAGCCCCACAGAAATACAGCCAATTGATTTTGACAAAGGTATAAAAGTCAATGGAGAAAGGACAGTCTTCAACAAATGGTGCAGGAACAATTGGACGTTTATAAGAAAAAAGAAGCAGATCCTTGACCTAAACATCATATCCTACATAAAAATTAACTCATAGTATATCACTGGCACAGATTTGAGTGTAAATCATAAAAATATAAGACTTTCAGAACATAAAATAGAAAACCTGCAGAACCTAGGGCTTGGTGAAGAGTTATTTTTTAGACATGGCATCCATTTACAAATTGGATAAATTGGACTTCAACAAAATTCAGAACTATTGTTCTTTGAAAGACCTTATTAAGAGGATGAAAGTAAAAGCTACAGACTGGAAGAACATATTTTTAAACCATATACCCATACATCTCATAAAGTACTCTGAGAATTTAATAGTTTTGTTCAATTAGAAAATGGGGGAAAGATATGAAGAGATATCTCACTGAAGATGATATACGAGCAGAAAATACACACATGAAAATAAGTTTAATATCATTAGCCTTTAGAAAATGCAATGTAAAAACCAGAATGAGATATTACTATTAACCTGTCAGGACAGCTAAAATAAAAACCAGTGACAATATCAAATGGTAGCTGGATAGAGAAACTATCACTCATACACTGCTGGTGGGAGTATAAAATGGTACAGTCACCAATAGTTTGGTAGTTTCTTTCTTTTTTTATTTTTTTATTTCAGGCTCCTTTATTCCATGAATATTTATAGAACATCAACTATAGGCAAAACATTGACATAATCATTGAAGATAACATTGGGACAAATATATATCAATTTTATGAGGAAACAAAAGCATTATCTAGTTTGGTAGTTTCTTAAAAACTAAATATAGAGTTACCACATAACCCAGCAATTGTTCATGGGAACATTCATCCCACAGAAATAAAAACTATGTTCACACAAAATCTTGTACACAATTACCTGGGGAAGTTTTATTTGTAATAGCCCCAAACTGGAAACAACCAAAACATCCTTCAAAGAGTGGAGAATGACTAAACAAACTGTGGAACATCTAACCCATGGAATACCACTCAGCAATAAAAAGACATGTTCCTTTTGGAAAGATGTTTGGAGATCACTCAGGGATCTAAAAATAGATCCTTCAATTCCTCTACTAGGTATGGATCCAAAAAACCAAAAATCACTTTATAAAAAGATATTTGCACCAGAATGTTTATTGACGTCCAATTCATAATTGCTAAATCATAGAAGAAGCTCAAGTGTCCATTGACCCATGAATGGATCAATAAATTGTAGTATATGTACACCATGGAATATTATGCAGCCTTAAAAAAGATGGAAACTTTACCTCTTTTATGTTTACATGGATGGAGCTGAACATATTCTTCTTAGCAAAGTATCTCAAGAATGGAAGAAAAAGTATCCAATGTACTCAGTCCTACTATGAAACCAATTTATAAACACCCACACTTCCATATGAATGCTATACCCCAACTATAGCCCAAGATGAAGGGGAAAGAGAAGAGGGAGAGGAGGGAAGGGAGGAAGATGGGTGGAAGGAGGGTAACTGGTGGGAACACACCTATGGTGCATTTTATAAGGGTACATGTTAAATCTACTAAGTGTAGAATATAAATGTCTCAACACAATAACTAAGAAAATGGGGCGAAGGCTATGTTAACCAGTTTCATGAAAGTATTTCAAATTATATATAAAACCAGCATATTGTACCCCAAAATTGCATTATTGTATATAGCTATGATTTAATAAAAATAAAATTAAAAGAATCAAATGATTGACACACACACTACTTGGATGGATCCCAAGACAATTATGCTAAGTGAGAAAAGCTGATTATCCAAAGGTCACATACTTGTGAATGTTATGTAATATTCTCAGAATGGGGCAGCACCCATAGCACTGTGGTTACAGCACCAACCACATGCACTGAGGGTGGCAGGTTCGAGCCTGGCCTGGACCAGCTAAACATCAATGACAACCGCAACAAAAAAATAGCCAGGCATTGTGGCAGGCACCGTAGTCCCAGCTACTTGGGAGGCTGAGGCAAGAGAATCGCTTAAGCCCAAAAGTTTGTGAGCTGTGACATCATGGCACTCTACCGAGGGCGACATAGTGAGACTCTGTCTAAAAACAAAACCCCCCCCCAAAAAATTCTCAGAATGACAAAATTATAGAGATGGAGAACAGATGATTGGTTGCCAAGGGTTAGGGAAGGTGGGGGAGCAGAGTGAAGGGGTACAAAGCAGAAGTGATCTTTGAAGTGATGGAACAGTTGAATATCTTGATTTTGGTAGTGGTTACACAAATCTACCCATGTGATAAAACATAAAACCACATACACACATAGCACCCACGTCAAATTCCTGCTGTCCATATGATACTGTAATTATGTAAGATATAACAATTTGGGGAAACTGGAGGAAGGTACCCAGGACCTTTTTAATACTATTTTGCAACTATTGATGAATCTGTAATTATTTTGAAATAAAAAATTAGAAAAATGTGTGAAGCAAATACCAGATTACTGGTATCAGAATTATCTGTGGCAATTGTTAAAATATGTAAGTTTCTGAACCCCATGCTACATTCACTGGTCCAGAATTATTTTTGCTCTTTTTAAAGTTTTTAATTGTAGTGAAATACACATAACATAAAAGTTATCATTTAACAATTTTTAAGTGTGTTGTTCAGTAAAGTACACTCACATTGTTGTCAACCAAAGCCCAGAAGTTGTTTTATTTTGAAAAACAAAAATATATACCATTAATAAACAACTCCCCCTCTCCCATCCTCTGGCTTCTTCCCACACCCATCTTTTTAGACCAGGAACTTGGAAGGTTCCAGATTTAGATAATGAGGAGGCTGCTCCCAGCAATGGTAATCCGACCCAGTGACAGCCACTGCCACTGCCCAGGCTGTCTGTCAATCGCCTCATTTCATTTTCACAATACTCTAAAAGTTGACAGTTTTTCTATCTATTCCATGATGAGGCAACAGACTTAGTGAGGTTAAGCAATTTCCTCAATTCACACAGCTCAGGTTCAAACTCAGGTCTGCTGGGATCCCTAAGTCAGCCAAATCATAAGCCATCATTCTGTCCAGGTTCTTTATGACCTTGGCTTGAATATTAGCCACAGGTGTCTTTCCCCTATGGTTTCAGAAGCAGAGACCCGAGGGACAACTTCCTGGTAAAAACTCCCCCCACCCCCAACATCACAATTCTGGACCTCTGCCTTGGTGTATGCACAAGGACCTTATTAAGATTTCTTCTGAAAATATGGTTTGCAGTTGATGTTAGAGCAGGTGGCACAACAGAAAAATGCAAAGGGATTTTCCTTTCTGGTGTTTTCTAGTTTGTCTGAGTCACAGTCCCACTAAGACAGGAAGAGGGAAAAGATGAGAGAACACATTGAAGATTTACTGATGGACAGCAAAAAACACTGTCAGATATGCACACAAAGAGCTTCCACTTTTCCTCCGAAGGATCTTGCACCTTCAGCTGCACTCAACAACTCAAAATGTTCCTGGGGCACCTAAGTTAGATAACACATCATCTAAATGAAGACATTCCAAAACTATTTTCAAGCATTTTTTGAGAGAGCAAACCAAGCATACTGTCCATAAAAACAAAAGTTACAGATTACATATCCACTAAGGTAGCTCATTAAACTTATTTTGAAACCCTGGAAATGTTCAGAATAGTGCAGGGGATGGTTCAGAGGGTAATTTAGTGGGTTTCTTTCCCACTGAGAACATCTGATAACATTTTCTCTAATAATAAAGGGCAAAGTACATGCAGTTGTGTGAACCGCAAATGCTCCACCAGTTTGTGAGCGAGGAAAGAGATCGCTGGTTTGAAAAAAATAACTTTTTGTTATCTTCCACTGAAGCCACGTCCCTGTGTTCACAGTGTGGTAGCAAAGGGTGGAAAGAGGCAATTCTTGTGCAGGGGCAGAAAACAGTCGGCATGGGAGACATTATCTCAAATGAGTGTACAAAAATCTTATGTAAGTTCCATGGGCCTTCAAACTCAAAGGGGAGGTCTCTTATCATCACTTTTACCGTTTTCTTCCATCACAGAGATCCCAAGAGTGCCGGGCTCTGAGGCTTTGCAGAGCTTGACAAAGAGCCCAGAGCAGGTAGGGGACGCCACTGTTCGCCAGTAAAACTACATGAGAGCCCCAGGCGGGGGTGATGGGCGGTATAAATGAAAGGCAATTCCAAAGTTTCAAAGAACCTTAGCAAAAAAATCAAAAGATATGAGAACCAATATCCCCGACATGGATGTATTTGTTGTTCTAGCAGCAGTTACAGAGTGCCTAGAAAGAGAGGCAGTGCAGGGAGCCAAGCGCGGCGAGCTCAGGAAGGGAAATACAGAACCGGGAAGGATGCTCCTCCAGCGTCAAGGCCAGAGGGTCCCCTGAGTATCTAGGTAAAACGCACATCCCGATCGCCTGGGTAGGGAGTGGAGTCTGAGAGTCGGCGTTTCTAACAAGCCCCCACGTATTACCGCTGCTGCTAGTCCAAGGACCCACCTTTGAGTAGCCGGCTAGAGGAGAAAGGGGTTTTCTGAAGAGAACAATAAACTTCTGGGTAGAAGAAACTTCAAGAGAGGTAACGATAAAAACCACCTGGATGGGCAGGGATAGGGCGGAAAACTGGCCAGAGGAAGGATCTCCAAGCCTTTATTCCGAGAGCAGGGTCTCAGGACCAAAGGTAAGGGGGCTCTTGCCCTCCAGCTCTGGAAGAAAACGTCACCGAGGATGGGCTAGAGGGGGCTGTTCGGGAAGGAGGGAGACGTACACCTGTACAGGGTAGGCGACTGCACGCCCAACCTGCCAGGTGCAGGGGCGGGGACAGAGGGGAACCCGGAGGACTGGGGCGGGGAGGACTGGGGCGGGGAGGACTGGGGCGGGGCCCGCCCTTACCCCTTACCTGCGCTCGCCCTGGTCGGTGTAGACGTTGAGGAAGAGCCCCTCCCTGGTGTCCTGGTACACCATACCTGAGAAGCTGAGCTGCAGCTCGTAGCGGCTACCGGGCTGCAAGGCCTCACCGAGTTCCAGCACCATGTATTGCGTCTCCAGCGGGAACCACACGTCGTCCACCGGCACGCGGCCCACGGTGGCGTCCTCAGTGCCCGCAGACAGGGGCCCCCGCACTTCGGCGCGCTGGCAGTCTAGAAAAAGGCTGTGCAGGAGCAATCGCGCGGTGGCCACCCTGCAATGCACCGTGATGTTCACTCGGCCGCTGAAGTCCAACCGCTTGGAGAATTCGTCGGGCCTCAGCCGGGGCCATAGTTCCAGCTCGTAATGCAGGGGCACCAGCCAGCGCGGAAGGCGCAGATGGTCCCAGGGTCCCGGGGGTCGCCAGTCGTCACGGGCAGTAGTCACTGACGGCTTACCAGCGGGGCCAGATTTCGGGGTCCCGGTCGGCTCCTCTTGCCTGTCGGGAGGGGAGGACGCGGCGTCCGAAACCCCGAGGCCACCCAGCTCCGACGGCGGGACGCGCGCGCAGTAGCCGTACAGGGCGGCGAGCGCGGCCAGCGCCAGCAGGAGGGTGGCTGCTAGACCAGCCAGCAGCAGGGCCACTGAGCGGCTCACATAGAAGCCGGAGCTGGAAGAGGGTCCCATTGAGGGGGCCGGAGAAGGGCAGGAGGAAGGTCAGAGACAGAGGCACCGGTTCTGATCCCCGGGCGGGATGCTCAAAGGTGGGACCCCCACCCCTCCTGTCCTGTACAGTCCCTCTTCCTGCTGGAGGAGCCCGGGAGGACAGAGAGGCAGGAGAAAGCGGCTGGGACCACGGCTTGCTTCCCCCTTCCAGCTAATCGGATCCAGGTCCCTGCCCGCCCACTCCCGCCCCCGCCAGAGCCGGGGGAAGAGGCGGACTTGGCACACCCAGACGTGCGCCCTTTGGGGTCTGAAGAGAAAGACCGCGCAGAAGAGGCCTGTAGGGGCCGCGCGGGGAGGGGGTGGTCGGACCAAACTCGAATCTAGTCACTTCTGATAAGGATATTTGAATTACTGGGATTTGCTGGAGTGTGACTCGGTACGGCTTCAGGTGTTCTTGGCAAAGGGACACGTACCTAACACCCGCACCTCCTTGACCGCAGCGTTGAGCGGTCGGCAAACATACCTGCCCAACCACCACCCTGGGCTTCGTTTGCTGGGGGGTAGGGTGAGAGCTTGAGAAGCGGGACATTGAGGAACTCTCTTTGAAGTGACCCTGCGAGAGACGGCCGTACAGTCAGAACAAACTTGTGGAGCCAAGTCTGTGGCCGCCGACACGCAAGCGGTCCAGGCAGCGAGCGGGAAGTTGGGAACCAAGTCACGAATCCCGGAGCCCTTCCACAGTTTACAAAGCCGGGCTGGAGGAACGGGCGACAAAATCCTAGGGGAGCGTGGTGTCTGCCCGCGCTGTCCGGGTGAAGGGCCTGGGAAGACCCCTTCACCCTAGGAGGGAGCCCCACGGGAAGCCTCCACTTAGCTCCACCGCTGCGCGGGGTCCAGCTTTCCAGTCCTGGTGCTGGGTCTGTTCTCCGCATCCCCGCCGGGGAAAAGGGGGTGCCTACTTTCCGAACCAGCTCGTTTCTAGCAAAAACAATAATAATCCGACGACCAGTCTTTCCACTCAGAAAGCTCGGGGCTGGAACTGGTTTTCCAGGCAGTGCCCCAGTCGGCAAGCTCTTTGGCACGTTGGGCATCTGTTTGCTATTTAGCCGGTACGCCGCCGGGGCGGGCTCCTTGGCCGGTGCGCGGTGCCGAGTTGCACGCACACTCACGAGGGAAGTGGGAATAGGATGGCAAACTTCAGGAGGCGCTGGGGAAGAAGAAGGGGAAGGCAGCTAAGATCCTATTGCAGGGTGAAGATTGAATTCAGCGTGTCCCGTCTTTAGAGTCCAGTTTTTTCACAGCGAAAATAAGTTTTCTGTGGCAGCTATCAAAAGGTCTTCACTTTCCTGTTTTGAGTTCAGAGACTCTTCGGATCTCGGTGACCTTCCTGGGAAATGTGTGCTTTCTCACTCCTGGAAGTGAAATCAATGACTTTCAACAAGGCAACTCCCGGGAACCAACAGCAAGGAGGGAGATTTGACAGGAAGTTCATGCAGGTGGTTATGCTGTAATCTGTGGACCAGTCTCCAA